ACTCGTGTGGTGGAGGTGGGAGATGGTTAGATTGACATGTGTGGATTTTTAGAGAACTATGAACTATGCTAATGGCTCTCTTTATACTTTCACAACTTAACTCCCCCACCGGTTGATAAGACAAAAGATACAGTTTACACTTAAAGCCCAAAAGTAAACTCAGCAGGAGGAATGAAGAATGACAGAGACCCTGCTTGCAGTCCACTGTAGAGGATAGGAAACACTTTGCAGGAGGGAACAGCTCAGTTCTGCTTAGCATGATGTGCTCTAGGGGCTCAATGGAGTGGGAAGGAAACCAAAAAAATACCTGAAGACACAGAGAAGAAGTCGTCTGTGGGGTCCATCAGCTCATGAGGCCAGGCCTGGCTTCATAGGTGTGCAACATACTCAGGTCTCACACTCAGAAGAGACCTGGGTTTACGCTAGTGTTCTATTTTCACCATCTTGAAATTCTTAGTAATATTTGGGCAAGGGTCCTGCATTTCCATTTTGCATTGAGCCCTGGAAATTATATAGCCTGTCCTGCTTGTTGCTCCCTCTCCCATTAGCATGGCTGACTCCACATGGATATAAACTGACTTTCTAACCACTGAGAACTTGAATAAAAGGAGGGGAAACAGAAGGGGGTGGCAGGAAAAGAGCTGGAGGGAGAAGCCTCCCTCTTCCACCTCCGGACAATGCCCGCCCCAGCCTAGGGAAGCTCTGGTTCCTGACCCCTCACCCCATCCAGTAGTTGCCAACACAGGAAAAAAAGTCAGCTTCACAGGGGGTTCCTTCAAGTGGGGGACACACTGCAGAGGGATGAGAGCAGAAACAGCCTCTGGACCCACGGACCTCTATTCCAGGAATATGGGTCAAGAAGAGTATCACTTGGATTCCATCTGACAGGCAGTCATAGAGAAAAGGAAAATTTCCGTTTCGAACAGAAAGATTCTAACAGTATCAGAAAGTGGTAATTTCCCCTTTCTTCTCCCTTAACCTCCTCTTCATTACTGGGATGACCCTTGCCAGCACATTCCCTGAATTGAACTACACAACTGTGAACAAGATTCCTTCTCATTTTAGACGTGGAGAAAGGAAACAATGCTGGCAGGGTGGGGACAGGCTTGGGAAGCCCAAGGGTTTCTGAGAAACACTGGACAGTGCCTTGGACTTTATAGATCTTCCAGCTCACATATTTTTCTCAGTTAATAAAATAAAAAGTCAACCAAATTAATCTGATACAGAAAAACTTTTTTGGAAGATTTTTGCTACAGGGTGCATGCGCTCGCCATGCACGGAGAGACAGAAAGCAAGAAATCACCCTCCGGGGGATGGACACACCCCAACCCCTTCTCCTCCGTTCTCCTCTCGGGATCTTGGGTATGCATGCACACACACCTGGTGTGAGTTTTGAGCCACTGGACCCAGCACTCAAACTGTGGTCAACTACGTGAGAGTCCAGTGATGTAACCATTACACCTCTGCTGGTCTGCTGACAGAGATTTTAACAAACATGCTCAATCCCTGTGCTACATGGTACTTAAGAATAAATAGAAAACATTTCCGATAAATGTATGTACAGTTGTTTCTCAGCCCAAGCAAGCATTTCTGAGGCCTTCTGAAGGACTGGCTTTGGAACCCCATTTTTCTCTCTGGGGATCAGCCTAAGTGCCAAGAGGGGAGGAATGGAAGAGGTTGGAGAGAAAGAGGCCCATACTAGAAGCTTCTCTGATTATGTCTATGTTCTGCTCATTGACTTGTAATGAGAAAAGGCTAAATCTGAATTCTCTTTAGAACAAGAGCACTGTATGTCATCTTTATCCTTTAACAACTTCATTCTTCACATGGACCTTCCACCCTCAGACCTTCCCCCAGTGCTTAACTCAACCCCTGGGCACTAATGCCACAATGAGACAAACAGGCTCAGGCCTTTGGCATTATTATGCGGGCCAGTGCTAGCATAGATGTGGTGAAAAGAGAGACACAGCAGCAGAGGGGAGCTAGGGTTGGCCCTGGACCTATCTGAGCCTCAGGGGTCCCACTGATGAAATACACTGGAAAGTTCTCTGGGGACCTTTCCCTAAAAAAAACCCTGTCCCTGCTTGGTATTTGTACAACCCACTGAATCTTCCCTTTCTGGCCTCCTCCTTGGGTCTGCTGCCCACCTTGCATTTGAAAGGCTTCACGTCAGAGTGGACAATCATATGTGCCTTGAGGGTCTGTTTCTGCACGAAGCTCTTGTAGCACAGGTGACACTGGTAGGCCCGAATGTTGGTGTGGATCAGCACGTGTCTCTTCATGTTGGCCAAGAGGGTGAACTCCCGTCCACAAATCCCACATTTGTGTTCCTTCACGCCCTGCAGGGGGGCAGAGTCAAGAAAGTGGTAATTAGAAAGAAAAGTGCCTTCACTGAGATTGTAGGTTTCATTTTTCCCTGTGTTACGTAAATCCACAAAGAGCTCAGTGATAAATGGTGAGTTTCGAATGGTGTAGCATTAGCCTGTTAAATCATTATTTTCTTGAAAAGTATGGAGTACATCTCTTTTCTTCTTCTGAAAACCATACACTAGCCAGACCACTAGAGGAAAAGAAAATCATTACTTTTCATTGTTCCAGTCGCTGTTGCTAGCGTTAATTTTTTTTTTTTTTTTTTTTGGGGG